ATCACATATATGTCACTGGCCAAAATAAATGGCCGCATTTAGCTGCAAGGGAAGCACTGTATCGAGCTAACAATCAGGGTGCTCTTATTAAAGGATAATGACAGGGCCAAGCCCGTGGTGCACTTGGGAGAGTGCGGCACTGGGAGCGCAGCAGCGCTCCTGCCGCGGGTTCGGATCCTATATAGGGATGGCCAGTGCGCTCACTGGATGAGCGCCATGCGGCCAATCTCAAAAAAAGACTAAAAAAAAAAAAGGATAATGACAGATCAGACCCTGGGAGGCAACTAGTTGTCTCCTCCACAATTGCCACTTCTTCTGCCTATCTTTCAATAATTTCTCATCTTTCTACCTAATACATAGTTTATTTTAGTTTTAGGACTACTTTGTACATTTTTAGCCCAGCTAATTTGTATATTAAAATTTTGGAACAAAAAAACCCTAAAACAGTGCTCCTAATCTTAATTCTTTTGTAATTATACAGTTTTTATTGTATAGTCATTTTATTGTATAGTCATTTCAGTTGCTTATAGTGGGTTAAGTTTTCTTTAAAAATTCCTATTAATTCAATTATTTTCAAGATATGATGGCTCCAAAATGAGTTTTTATAAAATGCATATTTTAAAAGTAAACTAATTCATATTACTTGTGGATTGTGATACGAAAATGAAATACAGAAGACTCTTAAGACCTTCCCGAATCCCCAAATTCATGAAGACTTTGTGAAATAAAGTGGTGGTTGGGCTCAGTCCATGACAGTTTTGCTCGTACACTTGAGTATCTGTAAAATGATCATTAGAATCAGGAACATTGAAAGGAATTTACATTTCAAATTCCTCATTCTTTTTTTTTAAAGACATAATTTTTGAACATATAGAAAAGTTTTAATAATAGTGCAGTTTCCTTCACCCAGCATCTCCTAATGCTAACATTTTACATGATTTTATATAACAGAACAATTATGAAAACCTGGCAATTAACAATTATAAATACTGTTAACTAATCTATAGACCTTATTTGAATTTCACCAATTTCCCCGCTAATGTCCTTTTTCTGGTCCAAGATCCAATCCAGTATCCCATCCCTTACACTCAGTTGTCATGTCTCCTTAACTTCCTCAGTCTGTGACAGTTTCTTCATCTTCATCATTCAATGCCCTTGATCCTTGGAGATTTATTGGGCAGTTATGTTGTAGAATGTCCCCTAGTTTGGGTTTGTCTGATATTTTCTCATGATCAGATAATGATCATTTACATGGTCATAAGAATCAGATATAATTTTGTGGTATTTTTGCCGAGAATAATATTGATATGTCTTATTATTGGTGATGTTAAATCTGGTCACTTGGTTAAAGTTTATCAGGTCTTTTCATTGCAATGTCACTATTTTTCTATTTGTAATTAAGAAGTATCTTGTGGGGAGATCCTTAGAGCCCATGGAAATATCCTGCTTATACTGTCATCTACTAATTTTATTATCCACAGATGATTCTTAACCTCAGCAATTATTACTTTGGTGTTTGCCATAGTTATCAATATTTGTTAAACTTCTATTGACTGCAAGAGAAAAGTATGTGTTCTGATTAGAAACAAATATCTGTAAATGTGAACTTGATTGGAAATTCTTTTGATCAGTAGGTAAAGATACAGTTGAGAAGCTCAGTGAAAGTTACAGGGAAAATTGTGTTTAAATGTTAAATTATTTGTTACATTTTCTACTTCAGTAGAGAAGAGCACAGTTACTTGATCCACCTATTTCTATCTGTGGCGTCAGTGTGATTCCTGATGGTACCAAGGAACTTACTTCTGTGTTGACTGTTACTTCTATCCTACTTTCTCTTTTTTCAGAATAAACCTCCTTCACCCATAGCGAGGGATGCAGAGTGTTTTATTTAGTTTCTATTTATAGAGGTTTTAAAACATATCTGTTTCCATAAATATACTCATGCCTTCATTCAAAACATAATTTAACAATATAGTAATGGCTCAATTGATATTAGAACCTTCAACTAACTAGAAAAATTATATCGGCATCATAATAATTGAGGGAACACACAAAAAAAGCAGGTCAGAATACAAAAGCACACATCAGAGATCTTGGCCATAAAAACTTGCAATATTATATCCTAAGTCCGGGAACTTTTCTTCAGCTACATTTCTCTAAAATTGTAAAACATGCACAACTATGACCTTGAAGCACTATAAATCACTGAAAATAAAATTTTATTTGCTTAATTTTCTCCGAAGCAGAAAAGTATATCAATACATTTAAGAAAAATTTTCCCAAAATGTATGAAACAAGTTTTCTGATTGACATTCAGTTGATTAAAAAAGTAAACCATTCCATCATTACAGAGTACTCATTCCAAATCATTCCAAAGTACTTACAGACTATGGGTAACATGTGTTATTTAGTTTAGTTTTCTATTTCAAGTTTTTATAATCGCACATTTGTACCTTTGCCACTAAATTTAAATTAGCCTTTTTTTTTTTTGAGGGCAGGAAGTTTTACATAGTGTATTGATTGTTATAGACTATAATATTAAGTTGTTACAATTATATGAGACTTATAAATATGTTGTATTTTTACATGCAAGCAAAATATGAGTATGTATTATAAAATTCACAGATGTACACCATTTTATTCAAAAACTTCAATGGTGGCAGTTTAAAGACTATTTTGTTGGCAGTAATGGCTTAATACCTAAAACAGGACAGAGTCCTTCACAAGGTAAATTAACCAGGGAAATATGCCAATTTTGACTTCATTTCCATCCTGTCGAATGTCTGTATTCATTCTCTTTAGGTTTAAAGCTCTTCATTCTACTGTTCCTCAACAGTCTTTATAGAATTCGAGCTTGCTTTTCACCTATCTTTTAACAGTTTAACATAGATGGCTGGATCAAGTCTATTGTTCCAATTGTATGTAGCTTAAAAGGCTCTGCAGTATTTTACTCTTTCCATTGTATCTGGCTTCCCTGAGTGCTCTGCTCGCTGCATTTTACTCCTACTCTGTTTTCTAAACCCATTTATGCCTATTCTTTCTGAAGACATTTGTTCATCTGGGAGCTCAAATTGACTTCTCCCATTCTATTTCCTTAACTAAAAATGCACCATTAAGGTTGATTGAACTCTTTTAAAAAGCACTTCATAAAAAATGAAAGGCCATAAGAAAGTAGGCTACTAATGTTTGTAAATACTTGTTTTAAGCCAAATTGATAGGAAGGAATAAAAAATAATGGGAAACTTAAAATTGTTATTAATATATGTTTTTACAGATTAGGCTTTTTCATTATTCTTTGAGAGACACACTTGTAAAACATTCTGGGAGGGAGGGAAGTGGGAGGGCTTATGTTATAATTAAAAATGAAACAAATAGAAGAGCCAAACCACTAAAATTATTGAAAATATTTTCTAGAAAAAATAAACTCATGTTTTACAATAAGCAAGATCTAAAACGTACAGGTCATGATTAAAATATACAGCTTTTAAATCATAACACCTTAATTATTTTTCTATTTAAAAAATAGTTATTGTTATTTTTATGGTTTTCGAAAATAGTAAGATCATCATCAAACTTTTCTCCTACTTGTCATGTTTAAAAATAACTGCTGGTATGAAATATTTTAAAAATTTAGAAGTTAATTAGAATTATAGAACTAAAAACCAGAAGATGTAGAATACTATTTGTGAAAAATACCTCACATCTATGTCTATTGCTTGATCAAAATGTAACCTATTTAAAAAGCTTATTAAAATATCCCAATGTATTTTTATTCAGAACATATGAAAATACTGTTATTATTAATGATACAATATAAGAAAAAATCTGTTATAACTTTAAATTTAGGATTTCAGAATCACTGGTATCTTACATGCAAAATAACAATGTTGATGAATTGGCTTTTTGATTTGCCTAAAAGAGTATACAGTTAAGGTAAGGCCTAATAAAATATAAAAGATAAATAATTTGATTTCAGGTAATTAATATGAAATGAATGATTAATAGTAAAAATATGAAATTTTGCAATCTAAAAATAGACTATGACTGCATGCAAAATAAGTCTATCAAGAAATTTCCTGGAAGCAAAGAAATAGTACTTTTACTATAGAAATTATACATTTTTACCTAAGTTAAATACACTGGAAAAGAATGGATAGTTTACAGTCTTTACATAAATTAGGGCTCTACAACAGCTGATTGTAGCTCATTAATTAGCACATTAGTAATAATTAATTGCCAATTCACTTGGAATTAAAAAGTAATAAATTTGGATTTGAAAAAAAATCTTGGATTAGGTGTGTTATATACTCTTTTCCTTTTTAAGCCACAGCTTCTTTATATATAAATAGAGTACATGTCATGCCTTCTTCATGTCACAAATGACTTGTAACTATAACTTAAAATTTCAGTTTGTGAATTATTTACCTAAAAAATAATTCAGAGCAGATCTAAAATTACTCCTGTAAAAACATCTCATATTCAATGGCATTTTCATTTGTTTTGTTCAGTAGGAAAGGGATAGAGTTACAGCGATTACCTTGTGAATTGCACAAAACCAACAGCTTAACCTGTGAAGATATTCCTGGGGTACTTGTATATCACATCAGTGTCATCTCCTATCATAGCAGAAAAAAAGTCAGAACTGCTGTGCCAAATCATGTTAATAATCATTCCCCTCATTGCTTTTATATGAAATTGTTTATTGTATATTTATATTAAAAGGTTCTTGAAGGTTGGGTCTCTGTGTGTACGTATTCTGTAGCACCTAGCAATGCTTAAACACATGTTTAGTATTATTCTTACTATCAAATTATGTATTAAAAATTACTTTCAAGAAGAAATTCAAATGTAATTAAAATTTAGTTAAAAATTTATAAGTGAATTATAAAATATATTGAAAATATGCCAAAATGTTAAATGGATGCAGTATAATCAGTTATGTTTTTTCTGCTTTATGTTTTTCTATTCTTAAATATATTTCTCCAGTGGAAACCTGTTACTTTTATTTTTCACACTTGGTTTATTATTTTTAAAGATACTTTTTATTACTAAAGTAACATATTCAGCATTTGATTTATACATATCATAAAAGAAAAAGCAGATAATACCAATTTAGTAATAAATAGTGATGAGCAGACTGTCACCACACTATAAAGAAATCAACTGTCCTGGGCCACAATAATCAACCACATTGTATATTGACAAAATAAAATTAAATTAAAAAAAAAAAGAAATCAACTGTCAAAACTAAAGGGCAACAAAGACATCTTCTGGACATCTTAAGAACTGCATAGTTGTTTTTCAAACCTCCACCTAAGTGTAATAGTTGCTCAAAAACCACACATAAGAAGTGCAAAATCAATCTGTAATTAGGTTTGAAATTTTAAATATTACATGATTAAATTACAAACATATAGTATTTAAAGAAGAAAAAATACAAAATTGTTGCATATACATTGAAATTATACTGTTTCCAAAATACCTTTCAAACTATTTCCAGATAGATTATAAAACATAAGTATTTGGGTAAAAATAACTTATTTTCATGTAAGGAACATATAAAATCATATGAAAACTACATGCAGTGTTGAGCCAATACCTTAAAATTTTAAATAGAACAATTCATGAATCATAGAGCTTATATCAAAATATGATTGATAATTTAGTAATCAATTTAAACAACTGTATTCAACAAATAAAGAAGCAAATTCAAATCCACATTTGATTACTTTGTGATATGTCCAAGTACTATGTGATTTAATAGTTTAGAAAAATTATTTCCAGTGAAATGTAATTATTAAAGGTCAAAATTTTAAATGTGTCCACTCACTCAGTTTGAACATGTTTTCTTTTTAGCCTAAAATTGCTTGTAAAATTATATTACTTCAGGCACAATTAATGATTTACATATAAAGTGGGACTCTTTTCTCTTAGAGCATGAATGACTAGCTGCATACACAGTTAGCCACATTTAGGAACTACTCTTGATGCCTACAATTTGCATTTCTGAACAATTTTGAGGGCAGACCTGGTTTGAAGGTATTTTTTTAAGTATAGTCCTAAAAACTAATCTGTAGTTTAACTGCAAAACTCATCTTGCTTCAGTAGTAGTTCTATTTGGTAAGAAATGTATGCTTTAATTTTATGTAACCCCAAATGAAAAAAATAAAAATATGCTTAGTTCCTAAAATTACCTTAATATCTTCATATGACAGGTCATAATGAGATTTTATGACTAATTGCTTCCAATACCAGAACTAAGCATTTGATTCTCTGACTTTCTTTCATGTCACTTTTGCCTTTTCAAATTGTTGTATGAAATAATACGTCATGATTTTTATAATATAGAAAATCAAACAAATATTTAAGATAGCCATAAAGAAAGTTTAAGAGAGGTGATATTAAATCAAATTCATCAAGTATAAAGATAGATTATCTTCATATGGAACTGAAGTGCTTTAGTAACATAAGTAACATGATTATCTTATTTTTTTGTTTACTGACCACTGTCTGCTAGTTTTTACACAACTGCTAAACAGAAATAGGTTTCTTAGGTTATTTCTCTCATTTCTCCTTAGGCAGTTACATTCGATTTGATCTTGGAAAGTTGCTCCCAGGAATTCTGTAAGAAATAAGATATTTATGAGTCAAATAATGGTGACTTAATTTCTTAATGAATCAGCTAATTTAAGATAATTCTGCAGTAAATAATTTCTGTATTTTATATGTGTGCAAACTCAAAAAAATAAAAATAAAGAAGAGAAAATGATTCTATTTTTGGCTATTTAAAGATTGGGATATCCTGAGGACTCTGGTCCACAACTGATTATAGCAGGGGATCAGTGCAGCAAGAGCCAGTCCTAAACTAGACCTACTGCTTAGGTAGGTCATTCTAACACACGACCGGGAGCATGGCTACAAAGAAGCTGGGGACAGGTAATACTTGGAAATCTAGACAGACAGGTGTTGAGCAGCAGAGTGGATTCTTAATGAGAAGTAGCAAGGTTCTTAGGTATTGGGCTGGGCTGCAGGGATAGGTCCAGACCAGAGGCAGGGGCAAGTGGGAACTTTAAAGAAAGTTTTGAAGAATTTACAAAATTTTCAGCCTTCACAATTTCATTATAGAATTTATGTGCTGTTCAATGTATAAATGAACTGCTCTGCATATTCAGTGAGTAGAGTGAGTTGGGAGAGAATGAAAAGAAGTTCCCATGTAATTATTTCAATGTTCTCTCACTGGTGAGCACTAGTACTCTTTGAGCACTGTTTGTTCTTGATATTCAATTTGAGGCCTTTTTGAATTATGATTTAAATACACTGGAATTGGGAAAAGTTTGATGAATGTAGGAAAAGAAGTATATGCTATCTGACAGCTTTCCCCAATTCCCAGAGTAAATATATAACTGTATATTTACAATATTTCCTTTTTTTATAGATGAATAGCAAATATGAAGAGTACTTTTTTTATTAACAATTAGAAATGACATGGAAACACAGAATAGCTTTACCTTCCCTCATCTTGGTTGCTCTGGTACGTTTGTGCAGTTGGAGATGCAATATTCTGAGGTGACAGAAGAGATGAAGAGAGATTTATGCCTCTGAGTTGCCGAAAAGCTATTTCTGCATGGATGCTCTGAGGATTATTCGTCACGATCCCTGCATTCTTGTTTTTTTTGTCTGAAATTAGAAATTCAGAGTTAAAATTATGAAACAATGAGAAGGATTAAGTAATGTAAGCATTCAGTAATAGTTTGGTTGTCCCTCAGCTGAATGTACACTATATATGTTACATAACAATAATTAAAATTTCCAAATGAAAATATAGAATTGGAATATATCTCTAGCACATAATGAGGCTTAAATTTCTGTGAGCTAGTAAATCAATTTGATCCTCTCTAGGTAATTTAAAAACATATAAATATCCAGCTATGCATGCTGTAATAAATGTACAAATAAAGTGGCCATACTTTTTAAAATAAAAATTGGGACAGCACAGTCAGAAAATAGGAAAGAAATTATAGAACTTTTCCAGAAAAATACTAAAAAAATAGTTCCATAACAGATCTTGAAGAAAAATAACTGAGAAGGAAGTTATGGAGATAAATTGAGGGTTGAACAAATGTGGAAAAAAAATGCATTCCTGAAGATGACATTATACTGTTAAGGAGGCTAGTAACAAATTGGTACAATTGGACAATTTTGCTGATAGTCATACCTACTGGACAAAAGCATAACTATCCTCATTATGATTAAAACCTTGAAGCCATAAAGTTGTAGAAGTATAAAAAATAAGTTAGACAAAATATAACATCTTAACAGGGGGAATTATTCTGGGTTTCTTTCAGCTGGGTTTCCTTTTAAAACTTTAACCACATGGATCAATTTGCTACTCTTAGTAGGCTCTTAGATCATTTAATAATTATTGTGATGTTCAGAGTTTTATTGTCTAACAGTGGTTTGAAGATAAAGTGGAAAGTTAAAAGGAATGGAAGAGGTGAGCCCTCAGAGGAGTAGCTACCTCCCAGTTTTGCCAAAATAATAGCCACTGAAGATCTGGAATTAGGGAAAAGGTTTGTTTCAAATCTCAATTAAAATGAATATAATAAACCATTTGTATGCCCTGTCCTTTTAATATACTACCTCATTTAAAGCTCTACCTCTTGACTACTCCTCTGGTATTGGCTTCATGAATATTTACTTGTGATTTCATGAAAAAAGTATGACCTCTTTGTAAGATATCCTTCATACCTCAAGATTCTGTTATATTTTTAAACCTCTGATTTCTACTTTTAGCAGGCTGTACTAGTAAACTGGTTTTAGTAATTGTTTGCTATGACATACATGAAATAAAATAAAAGCTTTGAAAAGCAATGTCAGGAAATAATTGTGCAAGTATCACCAAGTTTACATTGTAAGTGAACAGATGTTTAGTTAAAACATATTAGTAATTAATTAGAACAAGAAATACTTCAGTTTCTGAATTCAGAATGACCATAGGAAACTTGAACAAACATGCAGTTTTAGAAAATGTAAATTTAAACATGCAATTTTAAGTAATATTAGAAATCAAAGTGAGTTTTTTTGTTTGTTTCAAATGAAATATTTTTTATATTCTCTCTAAACTCTTGTCTAAATACCTTCAACTTCAGGAGTTAAAGTGAAGTCAGATGCCAAGTAATGGCTAAATCCACCAGGAAGAATTACATTTGTTATCTTTATGGGAGGAGCTTTCACTTGGCCAGATGATCCACCATCCATAAGAGAGTTGGTAACAGGAATAGACTACATAATAGTAACAATAAAAAATGTAGTTAAGAATATCTCACCTCCAAAATTCAGATCAATAGGTTTAGTCCTTATCATAAGCTCCACCTTACCATCAACTTAAAATTTTTTTTAGTCATAAATTATATGCTTGCTTAAACTCAGAAATGGTACTAGGTAAAACCTGTGAAATTGACAGACCCTTTTGGGCAGTTTACCTCCCTCAGAGCTTTATTTTCTGGTTTTTTTTTTTTTTTTTTTTTTTTTTTTTTTTTTTTTCTTTTTCCATGTCCGGCAACGGATCGCAACCCTCAGTGTTGCCCCCGTACCGGACCGGGGACCGGCAATGGGATCGCAACCCTCGGTGTTGCTCCCGCGCCTCGCTCAGCCAGTGAGCGGGAACCGGTCCGCATGTGGGATCCGAACCCTCGGGCAGGAGTGCCGCTGCGCTTCCCAAGCGGCACACTATCCAGTGCGCCACCAGGCCGGCCCCTTTATTTTCTGTTTTTGTCAGACTGCATTGTACTCGCTGGAATCTAGTGCTTGATGGCACCTCCCCCTTTCCAAAGAGTCTTAACAAGGTAAGTGTAGAATTAAGAAAATGAGAATGAAGTCTTTCCCCATTTGGACTGGAAGGTAAGAGCTATTTCTTCTCCATCTTTGTATTCCTCATGTTAGATGCCTTGCAGTTAACTAGCTTTTCAAAAACAAACAAGTAAATAAAATGGAGATTAAGACAAGCATCTCATAACAATCAATTTTAAGGAACATAGTAAAACTTTCTAAGTAGTATTTACATTTTAGGATTAAGAGGCTTTTAAAAAAATTTTCAGGAACCACCAAATGGAGGATAAAAGTATTTTAGGCAGAGAAGTCTTGTTTTCCCTAGAAATTTAAGCCTGCTCTGTTTCATTAAGACTGACTTTGACTTTGTTTACACTTTTTTAACATATGATTCAACTCATTTAAAGATATAGGCTGTTGCCATTTATGTAAAATTACTGATTTACCTCATGCACTTCACTAAGTCTTACCAAGAATGTAGCTTTGTAATGAATGCTAAGGTATCAGCCCCAAATTCTCTAGTTCTTTTGTGGGAGTTTCTTCCCATCTCTAATGTAGAATGTTGTCAATTATTTTTCTGAAACCAAACTACTAAAATGTTTTGGTTTAGAAGACAGTCTTAGATTTCATTTACTTATGCCTTACCTGCTCTTAAGAACAGCAGCAATTAAAATAAAGAAAAACACATTAGACTGAACTGATAAACTTAGAAAGTTTTCTGTTCTTGTGTCTCCTAAACAGCTAAAAGAACTACTAGCTCAACTTTGTTCTAGCCATGAAAATAAGAATTATTGTTGAATCTTAAAATATATTCTCTAAAATAAAGACTTTAATACCACCTTTATTTTACTAACCATGTATAGATGAATGAAAAATAATTTTTAAATGTTTACATACAGAATAACTAAGTGGAAAAATAGTTATATTTTTATATATAGCACTGATTCAAATGTCAAGAACATATATCAAGAATAACTCAAGATGACATCATGGTATAGTAATGGGAAAATCTGAGCTTACTACGTGAGAAGTAGAAAATAGCCAACAAACAAAACTTCTAGTGAAATATTCATCATTGACTGAAGTTTGAGTTTATGTACTTTTTCTGCTGAGTTAAGCCAATTTTTAAAAAATTGCATATGGAAATTAAGATATTTAAAATTGTTCTAAGTGATTACTTCATGTGTTTCAAATTTAGCCAACATTAGAATAGAAGTTCTAAATTTTAGGGCCGGCCCGGTGGCGCACTGGAGGGTGCGCTGCTTGGGAGCATGGCGGCGCTCCCGCCGAGGGTTCGGATCCCATGTGGAGACCGGTTCCCGCTCACTGGCTGAGCGCGGTGCGGGCGCAACACTGAGGGTTGCGATCCCCTTGCCAGTCCCCGGTACGGGTGCGACACCGAGGGTTGCGATCCTGTTACTGGTCAGCAAAAAAAGACAAAAAAAGGAAAAAAAAAAAAAAGAATAGAAGTTCTAAATTTTAATGTGATGGTAATTTTTGTAGGTCTGTCCCCGGTACGGGTGCGACACCGAGGGTTGCGATCCTGTTACTGGTCAGCAAAAAAAGACAAAAAAAGGAAAAAAAAAAAAAGAATAGAAGTTCTAAATTTTAATGTGATGGTAATTTTTGTAGGTCTGTCCCTGGAGCCCTCACATGTGTGGTACAGTAGGAAGAATAATGCCCCTGCCCCAAAGATGTCTACATCCTAATCCCCAAAACTTGTGAATACTTTACCTTAACATGGCAAAGGACTTTGAAGGTATGATTAAGTTAAGGGTTTGTAAGATGAGGAATTATCATGGATCTAGGTAGAGGGAATCAGAAGGGTCAGAGTGAGAGAAGGGATGTGATGATGCAAGCAGAGGTCTAAGTGACGACACTGCTGGCAGAGGAACATGAGCCAAGGAATGCGAATAGCCTCTAGAAGCTAGTATTGGCAAAGAACAAATTCTTTCAAACAGCTTCCAGAAGGAATGCAGCCCTGTCAATACTTTTGATTTTAGCCCTCTAAGACCCATTTTCAGATTTCTGACCTCCAGAACTGTAAGATAATAAATTTGTGTTACTTTAAGCCACTCAATTTGTTGTCATTTGTTACAGTGGCAATAGGAAACTAATACATGTGGCATGTTTTTCAAGAAGTGACTTGCTCCAGGAATATAAACTAGTGACAAGAAAAGGATGTTTAAATCATTGAACTAAATTTTATTTGGTCATTTTCTCTCTTCTGAAAGACTGTGTGTGACAAGAATTTGAGTAAATGACATTAGATGGTACTCTTAGTTATATCATATAGATCAGTGGCTAAGATTTGTTAGAGAAATGTTTATAGATGTAATTCACAAATGAATCAATTTCCTTTGCCTAACTAACTAATCTTTATTAACATTGTACAACTTTAAGTTTCACGGATCCCTAGCTACTTAGACCTACAATAGAAGACCCTTGGTTAATCAAAAGAAGTCAAAATTAATCAGAAAAGTTAATGTTAATCAAAAAGTCAGGCAATCATTAAGAATCATAAGTGTAATTCATATTCATCTTTTGAAAAACTTGAAAGCATATAAAAGTACATGCATTAACCAATCTTTTGAGGAAGGGCCAAGGCCTTTTCTGTAAGCAAGGGTCACTAGATTGATATTTTCTCTAATAGTGCTTAGATAAATCATACCCTTATGGTTCCACCTATAATTTCCAGTTTGGGTTTCCTTAAAGTGGCAAGACTTTAAAGACATGTAAAGAAAAGTTGAACACAAGAATTTGTCTAGATTTTTGAAAGTAATTTTCCCAGGTATTTTCTCTGAATTTTTTATTATTTTCTTCCATATTTTACAGTTTTTTCTTCCATACCTAATTTGACATTATATTTGTTTGTGTTTGTTTGTGTGTGTGTGTTCATGATTGCTCTTTACCCAGACTTTCCAAAATATTGCATTTGATTTTCACAGAAGCATGGAAATAATAATTTTAAAATTGCACTTATAATTCACTTGTTTATTTAAGATAACAAGAACTGGCATAACAGGATTTTAAAAAAACACGGACAAATCTTGATAAGTACGTGAATCTACTGCTGAAGGGAGAAGTGGACTACATAGGAGCCTACTAGTATCAAAAGTTTAGGGTGTTCTGGGCATGTTTGTTTTACAGAGGGAATGGAGAGTGTCAGTTAATCCAGTAAATTATGTGCAAGCTTATTAGAAGGACATCTACAGTAGTCTTACCTCTTTTTTCTTCAATATAAGCTTTGTAAAGTAACCTTTGTCCACTGACTCTAATATCCTTGGACTCTGGCTTTCACTTGCATCTGAGGTTTACTTACATTCTCTACCCTAGTCCAGGTTTTCATAATATCTCTCTTGGATTATTCTAAAAGCCTCTTAATTACTTTTCCTACCTCCTCCAGTCTTGTATTCCTGAAACATTGAAAACACAACTCTAATAATGTTACTTCTCTGTTCAAAAACCATAGATTTTCTGGGTTAAATTTAGTCTTTAGAGGATGGTCATAAAGAAACAGGATGGTCAATGACAGAATTTCCCAATGATATGCTTTTTGTGGTTTCTTCTCTCTTTCATCTCTTTCTTGCCATGGTCAGATACATTCTAGGGCTGATAGGTAAAAGGCCAAATTATCCTACCAATATACAAGAATAGAGGCACACATCTCCCTTGCTAAATGAACTGCACAGTCCAGAGAGCTGAAGTCCCTCCTTCCCTTCTCTCCCTAAATGGAAACAGTTTTACTGTTAGTTTTTATTTTTTAAAGTGATATGTTATAGTTACCTTCTAACATCATCTGACATATTGAGCACACAGACATTAAATAATTTGCCTTATGTCAAAGTGCATTATTTGGAAAAGGAGCTTCCTGGCCTTGTTTGTGTGTGTGTGCACACGTGCATGCACATGCTCTATTCACCAGATCAAGTTGCCTTTGATAGTAATCACTACATAGATACTAAGATAATCTACTAAGACATCATGAGTTTAAACACAGAAATCAAAATGCATGAGATATAACATTCATTTGCTAATAATTTATATGATTCAAAAGAAAGTGTAAATAATATAATTATTACCAAATTTTTCTTTGCTTGTAGTTCAGAGAAGTGAAGTTCAGCTTTTGCCCTATCATCTGAATTCACAGGAATTCCATCTAACATCTGTAAATTAGGCAGTCGAAATATGAGCACGTGGCGATGTAGCATTTTTCTACAAATCTGAATAAATTAAAATAATTTATTTTTTAAAAAAACTTCTATTTCAAAAATTATACTTCATAGAGAAGGAAATTTAGCACAAGCAGCACAGATGACAGATAATAGCTAATTTATAGTATTAGATGCTACCGATATGAGCTCCCTTTTTTGAAAGATTCCTCAATTTCCTGTCATGACAAATGAAGATAATTTTTTTTTAACTATTGCTACCATGCAGAGGTTTAGTGTCCTTTAAAAGTAGATAGTATTGGGGGCCGGCCCAGTGGCGCACTGCTATAGTGCGCCGCTTGGGAAGTGTGGCGGCGCTCCCGCCGAGGGTTCGGATCCCACATACAGACAGGCCGCTCACTGGCTGAGCGAGGGGCGGGAGCAACACCGAGGGTTGCGATCCCGTGGCCGGTCCCGGTCCGGTATGGGCGCGACACTGAGGGTTGCGATCCGTTGCCGGTCATGAAAAAAGACAAAAAGGAAAAAAAAAAAAGTAGATAGTATTGTTAATTAACGACATAATCCTAAGTAATTAGTTTGAAACAAATACGATATTTTTCCATAGGCACTATATAATTTAAGTCAATACACATTTACTGAACTGTATGATCCATCCCTTCACAGTGTCAACCTACTTTAAAAATACTTGTATATGTGCATAAGAAGGTGTATAGAAAGAGTTAACATAGCAGGACTGAAGCTGTTAACTTTAAAAGGATCTGGTTGCAATGATGGCTCTTGTCTTGTGTTTGGTACTTGGATTTTGGGAGTGTTCCTGCCATTCCATAACTGATAAGGGCAGTTCACTATGCCTAAATTATTAATACTAAAAATATGATTAATGCTCAACCTGTTTTCCTTCTGGGAGTCTGGAATTTTGGCACATGAGAGGGTGCCTATGTGATCAGCCCTCAACAAAATCATTGAATGCTAAGTCTCCAATGGACTTCCCTGGCTAGAAACAACACACAAGTTGCTGAGTTTTTGTTGCTGGGTATAGAGTGTGCTCTGTGTGACTCCTTGTGGGTATAAAGAAGCCTGAACAAGGATGCTTCCAGACTCTTCCTGTGTCTTTTTCCCTTATCATCCGACTGTGTATCCTTATTATATCACTGTAATAAGTCTTAGCCATGAGTACAACTACTGTATATTCTGAGTCCCTTGAATCCTAACAAATCCCTGAACATGGACATACGTGAACACAGGGATTACTGACACAGAAAGTATGCACGCATTGTTTGTAATAGCAAAAAAAGAAAAAGAAACTATTAAAAGGGAATGAATAAACAATTTTAAAAGCAAGTAGCAGATAACTATATAACTATATGAGAAAGATCTCTAACAAATATAATTGAGTAAAAAAAACCCAAAACTGACATACATTCTAGACCACAAAGCAAGTTTCATAAATATCAAATAACATACAGACTTTCCTCTGACTAAAATATAACAACATTACAAATAAATGACAAAAGGACATCTAAAACCACCCCATAGGTTTGAAATTAATACACATACACATACACACAACCCTCAGTAATTCATGAGTTAAAGAAGCGATCTTTGGGAAAGTAGGTTTTAAGAAATAAATAACAGTAAAAATACTATATGTCAAAACTTTTAGGATGTTGCTAAAGCAATACTTTGTAAACTAAAATTTATTGATTGATTCAGAAGAAATTTTGAAAACTAATGAACTAGGTATCCTACTTAAGAGTTTTTTTGAAAGTAGATTCCAAGAAACTAAAAGAAGGAGATAATAAAGGGTGGAAATTAATGAAATAGAACACAAAGAAATAACACACTTGATAAAACCAAAACACAGTTCTTTGAAGAAACTAATAGACAAACCTTTAGCAAGATTTATCAAGAATAAAAGAGGAAAAGCAAAAATCGATAATTTGGGGTATAAAAAAGGTGATAAAAATACAAACACAGTGGAGATTTAAATCCAGTAAAATTTAAATATGACCAAGTACTCATTCTAGAAATTTAAGGATGGTTTAATGCTAGAGAGTTTATTAATGTAATTTATCATATTAAGAAATTAAAGAGAAAACTATATTATCAATTAGTCAAAATCCAATGTTCATTCATGACCAAAATAGGTAGTAAACTGTAACTAGGAAGGAACTTCCTTAAACTGTTAAATGTTATCTTCCCATAACCTACTGCAAACATCATATTTAATAGTGAAAACTTAGAAGCATTCTTTTGAAGTCAATAACTTACTATGAGTGCTTCTATTCAACACTTCACTAGAGGTCCTAGTCAACACACTAAGAGAAGTAAAGGAAATAAAAATATAAGGATTGGAAATAAATAATAGTCATTACTTGCAGGTAATATGATAGTCTATAGAAAAAATCCAAAAATTTACAAACCATTAGAACTAAAAAGAGGGTTCAGTAAGTTCCTAGGTAAAGAGCAATATACAAAAAGGAGAATTTCTACAATTCAACAATTAGAAAAATGGAAAAAGATATGATTTAAAACAATAATTAAAAAAAGCAAACAATAAATCTAACCAAAGATGACTAAAACTTTTATGGAGGAAATTATAAATGTTTATCAGAAGACATATAATAAATGTATATACATGTTTAGAAGGGAAGGCTGAATACTGTAAATATTAGGGGAGACTGCTTGTTGCTCTTTCCTTCTTGGTGGAAATAACTCTAAGATGTGGCACTTCTGGTCTCTCTCAACTCCTTCATTCCCTCTCCACCACCAGAAGCAGAGTGACTTAACTGGTATATGAGGGAAAATTAAACTGGACATGCTTGGCTCCTATCTTTCCTCTTGGGAAGCTGTTTTCCTTTGGGGAAACTTCTCTGGGAGGTTCTGCTCCTCCCAGAGAAGCTCTCTTCCCACGTGGAAAGGCCTCAGTCTAGTATTTCTTGTTTCTGGGTGATCATGATTGCCTCTTTCTGGGAACTGTTGGCATGCCCATTTTGCTTTCTCACTAAGCTAAGCAGATATTTTCACCTCTCCACTGTCATATTTCTCAATTTGTTCAGATATTAGGTGAACAAGTATGCTACTCATCAGATCCACTCACAGGAAAGGTGGGAAATTTCTCCTAAAATTATTTTATAAATTGAATGCAATTCTAATTAAAACATCAACAAGATTCTCACATAACTTGAGAAGTTGTTTCCTAAAATTCATAAAGTATAAAGGGCCAATAGCCAAAGATAGTGAAGAAAGAGAAATACATAATGAGAAAGAGGAGGCAGAAGAAAAGAATAAACTCTACCAGACATCAAGTAAAATGTAAGTAATTAACACAGTATAACATTGGTACAGGGGTGGACAAATGGTCCAATGAATATAATGTAGAACCCTGAAACAGACCTTCTTATATAGGATAATGGCAGTTTGCACTATGATCTGTTGGAAGAAGACACTAATCAATAAATTTTGCTGGGATAACTGGCTATGCATATGGAAACATATAAAATTAAATCCCTTCCTCACACCATATAAAAATAAGTCATATACAACTATCAGTAAATTAACTAATAAATTAGAAAGGTAATATACTCACTGGATTGCCATACACTGTAAGCTCTCTGAGAGAAGAGATAACATCAAGTTTTTCCAGTTCAGCAATATCCTATTCAAAAGTTATCAATAAGTTATTATTTGGTTAGACCCAACATCTTCAAATATAGAATAATTCGAAGTAATTATACATAAGTGTTGGATTGCAGCTAGCTCACAATTGAATTCTCTGAAGTGAACTTGATTGACAATATTCATATAGTTGAATAAAGGCAGATCTGGGTACTGTGGATTCCAAATATGTGACTGGTAAAGATGACAGTCTGACATGGAAAATGGGCCTTAGAGCAGCACTTTCAAAAAAAGACCAATTTTTTTCTCAGAAGAGTTATAACTATTCTAGGACTCACATGATATTTGGTTAATTCCTCCAGAGTATTGACCCAGAAGTGTGAAAAAGATGAATACGGTCTAAACCATTTCAAAGGTACATATTTAAACACAACCTTAATAATAAAGAAATGTGATATTGAGTGGACTGCAATCCTGATATACTTGCTGGGAATATATGTAGCTGAAAAACTATTTCTCTAGTTAAATGTTTTGCCTTCCCTACTGCATAGAATTATTTATCCATTTACCATTGGTGAAAATTTGCAAATACATTTTAGTTTTTGAAAAATTATTTCTAAAATGGTATTTTTGACAAAATTTAGCCAACAAGCTCAGCTTAAGGTTGTTGATAGTTCACAATGATACAACAAAGTTAATGATATGTCCATATTCCTATTTGGAATTAAAAATTGACAGTGCATATAGCCAATTCATCTAGTAACTACAAAAAATATTTAGACCTATTTTAGATCACTTGGATGTGGAAATTTTTTTAAATGACTGATCTTTACTATTTTGATTTTGAGATTATAATAAAGGAGGGCTTTTAAAAAGCTCTAACATCTAGTTACTACAGAGATACTCTGCATTTTTACCCACAGGCAGTCCTATTTGTGGAAGCAAAGTCTTACTGGAAGTCATGATCGTGTGAAAAGCATTACATTATTTTCTCAAATTAAACAGTGTATAGCAATGTTCACTAGTGAAATATTTCTAACAAAATGTTCATTTCTCATAGAAAATGTTAATATGAGATAAAGACTATTAAAGACTATTTGGAGGGGATAATGCTGGTATAAAGTTTTAAAGAGACCTCAAGCAAACTAATATGTCCATAATTGGAAGGAGAGGACTGATGGCTTCCCATTTTTAATACAGGGTATTTTTTTACCGTGATGTGCTGGAGTTACCTTTTACTGGCTTACAGAAGTTGATTGGTAAATTTTCAGAAATTTTGGGAGATGGTGTTTTAGCTCGAAATTGGCTAGGGTAGAAGAAATTACACCATGAAAATTGGCAAATGCTACTATTTAGGCCACCCCTCTGCCCTGCCAGGTGTTAAACATTAACCAGAACACTAATGGTTGTTACTTTGTACATTGTCAAGATAAGCACTTAAGAGAGTCATTGTAATAGTTAGGTCTGGACTGCAGCCTTCATTTAGGACAATAAATATCAATAGACTATTTCCTGCAGTCATTTCCAGCTGATTATTCAGATATTTAAGAGTAGACAGAGTAGATGGGTATCAAATTGGAGAATCATTTAGACACAAGGATCAAACAGGACTGTAAAGCTGAATTAAATAACTCATCCTTCAGTTGTGTTTCTGTGATTCTTCCCACAGAAGGAAGACTAGGCAACAATTTTCCAAATCTACATTATTGAACATGATGGCTAAATCAAAGTGACACAGCTGAATCTGTTATCAAGGACATGCAGCTTCTGAAAGACGTTAAAGCAGGTCAATGGGGGACTGCATATATTTTCATCTTAAGTATTGTTGTTTTGATCACTTTTCTAGGCTTTTTCCGTCTTATGCTATCAATCTTTACCAACCCAAAGATTGTAATCTGATTGCCCAGTTGCAGAAATTAATGCTGCTATCAGCCTGCCCATGTTGGTATGAAGCTAGAGATGAACTCTCTCCCAAAAAAGAAAATTTGAAGGGAGTTGAGAATTTTGAAGAACACATGTTTTCAGTAGAATTAAGCAGAATCTCCTTAATAACTTAACCTTGTTATTCCTCTGAGTTCATTCCCTCCCCCCACCCCCCCACCCCCAGTTAAATGTATGGTCACATTAAGGTACTAAAATATTAATGGTGAAAATAAGTTTAATGGGAAAACGATCAATCTAAATTCAATGAAAAATATAATTTCAAGGATAAAAATAAACAAAGATCTGATCATTAAATAATCAATAATGCTCACCCCTTCATTCAGTGATAAATATATATGCAGAGTCTTCAAAAAGTTCATGGAAAGATTTGTATTTTCTTTAATTCTGTTTTTCCATGAACTTTTTGAAGTGCCCTTGTATAATCTTGCATGATTATACGGGTTGTCATATAGCTATATTAGATTTTGATTATAAATAAGCTTAATTGAGGATTCTTCTGTTTAAGTTGCTAGCGAGGAAGTTGCTATACCAGCTGATCTGTCATCCATTCACTCTCTTAAGAGGGATTGGAGGTAGGAAATGGTGGGGTGGGGACACTCCTGGGGAAAGGCAGATTACCTGGACTAATCTTCTAAGTATGTTGGTAACTGGATGTCCTGTCAAATAGAGCAATGGTATTTGCTAGGAAGAAGGTCCTCATTTATGATATTGTCTTAGCAGACCTCTCTGATTAAGGACTGCTTATAGTAAATAAACCTAGGATCTATAGAATTACGAGGTTTGGATCCCTATAAAATATCACATAAGCTCAAGTATTAAATGGAGATGTTTTATAAATGAGACACTCCCGTGTTGTACGTGATCACCCCACAAAATCTCACTTGGAGACCTCATTTTCTATTCAAAGATCGATTGCATGTATGAGATATGGAAAGGAAGGACCTGAGAAGGCACTGGAATGTTCTAGGTCCTGTGTATCCTTGAAATTATTAGTAAAGAAAGCTTGATACCAGGTAAGATCTCTGATGTGTATAAATATGATTTGACAGTCCTTTGTGTTGCTCAGTTGCTGTCAATGGAAAGATTTTCCATAGCATAGCAGTTTTCCTAATTTATATTTCTTCTGGATAAAGCTTTGGAAGAATTGTTGCCAGTTTTGGCAGGCTTTTCTTGATGAATGTTTGAATGTAGATGAATTAGTCACATACTATTTTTCTCTGAATGCATATTCCATTGTTGCTATATAGAAAGGGGCACTGGTTATGATTTCCTTTAACCTTGGACAGGGCTTTTATATCACCCTAGAAAAGTCTTCCTTAACTCTAGCATATGGAATCACAAACAAGTATATGTATCAAGTGTCTACTGAATACCAGTCACTAGGCTATACTGATACAAATGTGGACAAGATAGACTGCGTCCCTGTCCTTGGTGAGTAATCCAGAGTTCAGTCTGTCTTCAAGGCTGTCTTAGAGGTATAAGCAGAAGTAGTAAAGTTGGCAAAAGGAGGGCTAACAGACCATCACCAAAATGCTGAGAGAAATGTGAGGGATGTATAAGCTTATGTCTCCAACTGTCTTATTTGTGTACTATCTCGGGAGAGAGTCTAAGCAAGCTCATTTGGGGCAGTGGCCTAAACGTAACAGGTGAACTCTGAGCAGGTAAAACTAACGCAGGATCCTGTCTAAGGCACACTTGAGTAGGGGAGAAATGTCATATTAAAGCCAAGTCAAAGTCCATTATTAGGAGTTGATTTAAATGTCAGGTAGACTAAGAACATATGCCAAGTTTAAAGGGCCAGAAGAAGTATGGGATTGAGATTCAGAAACAGCTCAGGCCAAGAGCAGTCAAGGAACAAAGGAGATCTCTCAGAGAGCCTTAGAACATTTAGAACTAACCTTTATTAGTGGGCAGGTGCATGTGGGTTTGTCCAGTCTATAAGTCCAGAAACGGGGTGAACATCTCTGCATCACAGAATATTTATTTGCCTTGAAATATACATGGTATATAAACGATAAATAGCACATTAGCAAAATTTTCATTTGTGTGTTTGGAAGCTTTATGTTCAGAACTCAGAGGAATTAAGGGTTGTAAATCTCATAACAAAAAACAAAATAATATTACCTGTATTTTATTATATCCTAGGAAGAGTTTCTCTAGTTTTACCAAAGGTTGTAATTTGCTCAGTTTTCGCACTCTGTTTTCCTCCAGGTGAAGTGCCAACAGAGAACTTGGTTTGGCAAAAGCACTGTCATGAAATGCTCTGATGCGGTTATGGTCCACTACCAATTCTTGAAGGACTACTAAATTGTCAAGCCCTTCAACTTGACTAATTTCATTCCCTAAAAAAAAGATAAGTCATAATACTTCAAGTGAGCCAAAAAAAATCTACCTTCATTTAAATATTTTTATCAAACTTTTTTTAAGCTAAGGTATTTTTTAAAAAAACTTTTTCCAAAGAGAAATTGAAATGTAACATACAGGCAGGTGGCATCACGTCAATAATATTTGTTAAAATTTCTCCTTTGTGTTTGAAAGATTAGGTTGTGATGTATGCAATGTGCTGAATTGACCCTATCTGTCTGCTCAGTGATTAAATACTAAAATACTTGGTATTGACAAAAGTAGATGTATGAAAGTGCTGCAAAAGATATACTTCCTGAGTATATCTGATTATTATAATAGGTGTATCTAATTATTTCTTAAACTAATTCATTGTATTAAGTTGGTAGAATACACATTAATTATGCTGTTCTTACTATATTTTTGCACACATTAAAGTATATTGTAATCACACTAAACAAATTAGAGTTTATTTCATTGTTTAAAACCCTAAATCCTTCCTTATAACCTAATATTTCTCTCTAGTGTAGCAATCAATAGCTTTATAAGTATTAATGGTAACTTTTTTTTTTTTTTGTCTTTTTTTCGTGACCGGTAAGGGGATCACAACCCTTGGTGGGGTGTCGCCCGCACCGCGCTCAGTCAGTGAGCGCACTGGCCATTCCTATATAGGATCTGAACCTGCGGCGGGAGCGTCGCTGCGCTCCCAGCACTGCACTCTCCCGAGTGCGCCACGGAATCGGCCCTTAATGGTAACTTTTAAAAGGACTCTTGAATTTATACTATGCTTTTATATGTATTTTCTGTTAAAGTCTCAAAATACGATAGGAAAAATACTATTTCTTCTTAATAATCAGAAAATTGAGGGTCATAGAAGTTAAGGAACTTGCTCAAAGACATAAAAGTGGCAACCCCAGGCCTAACTTAGACCTCTATATTTTAAACTCAATGATCTTTCTAGTATGTCATTCTGTGTTTCATTCAAAATTCATCCTTTTTTTTATTATAGGCTGAAGTGTGTCCCCCTCAAATTCATATGTTTAATTCCTAGCCCTCAGTTCCTCAGAATGTGACTGTATTTGGGAGTTAGGGTCTTTAAAGAAGTAATTAAGGTTAAATGAGGTCATTAGGATGAGCCCTAATCCAATCTGACTGCTGTCCCTATAATAAGTGGAGATGAGGACACACACAGAGGGAAAACCGTGTGAAGACACAGAGGCCATCTACAAGCCAAGAAGAGAGGACCTCAGAAGTAACCAGCTCTGCTGATAACTTGATCTTGGACTTTCAGCCCCTGGAAATGTGAGGACATAGGTTTCTGTTATTTAAAACACCTAGTCTGTGGTACTTTGTTATGGCAACCCAAGCAAATGAATACATTGTTGAGCACATAATCCCATAATCTTGGAATTCTCTTTGAAATTTAACTTATTTTATCAAATTGTTAGAGACACCAACCATTGTTAAGATATGTCAATATTTTATGAACACTAAGAAAGAAAAAAACTCAGCTAGGTAAACTATGACATGCCATCAATTAAGACATGACTAGATTTCAGACATGTTAAAATATGAAAAATGGGTGTTTCAGAATTGATGAAATACGGTAAATTTACCTTATTTTGTTCTATTCTTGTAAAGAAATCAATAACATCACAGCCTTCATTAAAATTGCTTACAGACCTAAATCACAGACTTTGAAACATTAGCAAGTGTCTTACTTATAAATGAAAAGTTTACTAAAGTTAGACTGAGAAAAATGACTCTGTTGTGTTATTATTTTTACAAAATTGTGCACTTAGAATGTCACTTTAAATATTTTAAGTATAGTGGTATAGCTTCAAGTGCTGAATAGGGCTGATCTACAGTAGCATATTTTGGGCCATTATTTATTTTAGAATGCTCATTAAATACACTTAAGAAATAAAACCCTAAAACAACTGTGTTGAATGTGATTTCAGGAATTTTATACTTCTATAACTAGCAGCATTTATCACTGTTTGAAAAACTCTCCCTTATGCAACTAAATAGATTTTAGATAAATTTGACCCTTAATCCTTAAGATTCTAACTTGCTTTCCTACACCTCCACCTTGCCGTTTACCAAAGACTCCATCCTCTCCACCTTTTTGCAAATGTAATGTAACACCTGAAATGCAGGTTTGTAAGGTTTCTCATGGACACTGGCAGGGCCTCCTTGTATCATTGCCTACACATGTGTACTCCCCTATAGCTTTCACTTCCTTCCCACTTTAGACCTTGATCTCAAAATTAACTCCTCTGGTTCAAGATCTTTAACCTAACTCACTTCTTTATAAACCTCTAAATATGATCATACTCTCACTAGCCACAGTCCAATCTCTTACTCTCTTTTCAGGGACAAGCTCCTTGAGTATATGACCTCGATGAGTTGCCTTACTGCCTATCCAGACACTTCTCTGTATATTATTTTCATTTAGACTTTTGCCTTCATCATATTTCCAGATCTGATCCCCTGAAGGTTACCAATGGTCTCCTTTTTGTTGAATCCAATTTTTCCCCCCACAGGCCTTATTCTTTTTATCATTTGACTTTGAGGCCATTCATCCTCTCTTTCCCTAACATTTAGATTCTGCATTTCTTGGTTTTCTTTCAAAATTTCTTATATGACTCCATTGTTGGTTTTTTTCTCCTGTCTTCTTAATGTGGCACAGGATAAGGGTGCCTCTAAAGCTCTTTTTGGCCTTTCTTCTTTCTCTATACTTCTTAAGTAAGCACACATATTTATGACTTCATCTGTCACTTCCACTGGGGTCACTCTAAAATATAAATCTCCAGTTCTGACTTACGGTCTTGTACTACTACCTGAAAAAGTTTCCATTTTTATGTTTCAAAACTGTTACAACACACATTGATTTTTCCCTGTCTCCTATGAGCAACCTTTCCCAATGACTTTATCTAGTTTTAGTATCTTCTCTTGCCCAATCTCCTAATGAAATTATGAAAACATCTTGGACTATTTTCTCTCCTTCTTATGTATATATAATTAGTCACTTAATAGGACCAGCCCATGGCTCACTCAGGAGAGTGCGGTGCTGATATAATTAGTCACTTAAGTCCTAATGAGACAGGATAGGGCTAGGCCTGTGAACCAAACCAACTCCATTTTCCCCACAGAGAACATTTTATTACTTTTCCACTCCTCAGTCATGAGATCCCAAGGGCCTGATAAAAGTAATGACAAGTAATGAAAGTTGGGCATAACCACCCTGATAAAATAAACTGAGATAAGAGAACAGATATTCACTGAGTTGCAAAACACCTTCTCCAAGGCTTGTTAAAAACATAACTGTTAGCTTTGTTTAAAACTTACTATTATCTACGCATTCTTTCTTTTCTAAAAATTAAGTTACTGATTAACCTTAAGGCCCCTTTGAGAGTTCTCATATGTGCAGAAAGCTTCAAGATGACCATTACAACAACCGTCCTGGGGTAATGATAATGAGCAACACCACCATCTTGGACCTACTGAGCAGGCACAAGAACCTAAGCCCTAACTGAGCGTGCACCCATGATGCAGCCAGCAAGAACAGAATGGACCACTCCAGAGGCATGGAATGATGACACTGGCCTGCACCTCTTGTCCCCTTGCCCTATAAAAGACCCTGAACAGCTCTCCTCAGGAACTAGCTTCCCTGTAACTCCCTTATGCATAAGTCTTTCTCTTCTTTTAACAAAACACTGCCTGTTTTACTGCTGGGTATACTGTTCATTTCTATGACTTTGGGATCCAAGAGCCTAATTTGGTAACACTAATATTTCCTCCTTTTAAACTGCCTTTTAGACTTACCTCTTACCACTCCCACTGATACCAGTCTAGTCTAGGCCCTTACCATGTCATTCATGATGAATAGGAAATGCATGTGCTTTGGAGTCAGACAGACCCGGCTTTGACTCTGTACCATAACACACACTGGCACAACTTAGGTGAATTATTTAACCTCACTGGATCTCAATTTCTTCTTCTTTTTTTTTTTTTTTGCAAAATGCATATAACAATACTTAACCATGTATGGGTGCTGTGAAGATTAAATGGGATAACCTTGCCCAATGACTCCACTAATGGCAGTCAAAATTATCAGAGTAAACTGCTTCATTTCCTGCATAAGGCTGCCCTACTCCAATCTGCCATGCTATCCAGGGCAAGAGAACACACTCCCCCTTTACGTTATTAGATTAAAACAGACCTTCCAGGGTTAGGTTGTCTGCTTTTTTGTATATCAATTTATCTTTTAAAAGATGTCATTGTTGTGCTCAATTTCTTGTTTTCTTTAAGGCTAAGTCTCCATGTTCTTGACCTAAATCACAAGTACCTTTGATAGGCAAAAACATGCATTAAAATTCTTAAAAATATGGTCTAGAAAAGCCTGTCTTTTCTTTCAGAAAAAAGTTATTATGCACAGATCAACTATCCAGATACATCCCTGCAAGTCTCACTGTCTCACTGATGCATCTCCTAACCTTTCTCCTGTGTCATTAAATAATTAGTTACACTAATGTTCCAAACCCTGTGTTTTTCTCATGCCGCTTTTGTAAAAATGTACAGTTCCTAACTATTGTTGACTACATCCTGTCCAAATTTCTCTGCCTGGCGTTCCATAATTCATCCTGCTCTACATTTTAAACTTCAATTCTTCACTACCCCACAAAATAAAAAATGTTCCTATAAAGTAATGAGTCTTAAAACCAAATTAAATAAAACGAAGAGCTCATATATCAAAATATCTAGTATATCTAATTCTCTAAGAGACCTGCAGACTCTCTGTTTACATTAAGTTGGTCTCTTTTCAAGTGTTGGCCCACAGACACCACAATCATGCCCTGTGACTCTTTTTCTCTCCCTGCTGTTTGCAAATCTCTCAGTAATACTCACTTTCAATTCATATTCTGTCAGTCCTTCAAAGAGTCCTAGATATATAGAGGAGTGAATTTTTCAGTTTCTCTTTTCTCTGAACTTCTATGGTACTTAAGTTAGTAACACATAGTCAGAACTTTGTGTTATAATAGTTCAATACATCTTTGTTTCAGTACATCTTTACAGATAGGCCTTAAACTACTTTAGGTTAAGAATCTCAATTATATAAAATCATATTAATATAGTACTTTCATATCTTTCATAGTACTTAGCACAATTCTGGGCTTAATAAATACTTGTGAATTACTCACTGGTTACTTTTTATTGTTTTTTTAAGTTGAATATGATAGAAAAGGAAATTATGATGTAATAGTGTATATAACTCCAGAATATTGCATTTTCTTGGAAATATGTAAATAACTGAAGAAAAACCCATTTGTGATTACTAAAATATTTTTGTCAATGAATCTATCTGAGTAAATGTTGATGCTTATATTTGCTTATGAAAACAGGATGATAATCAAGTCAGTTTTAAATAATAAAGACTTGACATTGACAGTGTTACTCACCCTGCAGAAAGAGAAATTTTAAATTTCTTAGCCTGTTAAGTTGTAGCTGGATTAAATTACAAATTCCATTGTAGCCCAAATGAAGAACTTCTAAACTGAGCATCACTGGAGGTAAATTTTCACTGCTCATTGTATCTCTGAAACACATAAGTAAATTTGAGGCCATAAACTTAATTTCAAACCAGCTGTATCATAAAAAAAAACAGTCTGTTATGTATTTACTATAAATTGAAGTTAAGGAAAGATAAATAAATAAATTTATTAACATATCAGAATTAAGCTATATATAGTCTCTATATTTTATATAATTTTTTATTCCTTAAAAAATATTTTTGTATTGCAAAGAATAAAGAAATACAGAAAGAGTTACAATTAAAAGCAACAGCCAATGCAGTTAGGCCAGAAAAGGAAGAAAACACATCCAGATTGGAAAGGAAGGAATAAGTAAAACTGTCTTTATTCTCAGATAACACAGTCCTGTATTTATAAAATCCTAAGGGATCTGCCAAAAAACTACTTGAACTAATAAATGAGTTCAGCAAGGTCACATGATAAAAGATTAACATACAAAAATCAGCTGAATTTCTACCAGCAATAAATAATCTGAACATGAAATTTAAAACCAATTCTATTTACAATAGTATAAAAAAGAATAAAATACTTCAGGATAAATTTAACAAGAGAAGTGAAAAATTTGTACATGGAAAACTATAAAGCATTGCTAAGAGAAGTTAAAGGAGATCTAAATAAATGGAGAAATATTCTATGTTCATGGATTACAATATTTGATATTACTGAAATGGCAATTCTCCCCAATTGATTAACAGATTCAATACAATCTCTATCAAAAGCCCAGCAGGCTTTTTTTTTTTCCCAGAGAAAATGACCATCTTATCTTAAAATTTAAAAGAAAATGCAAAGAACCCAGAATATCCAAAACAATCTTGAAAAAGAACAAAGTCGAGGGCTTAAATCCTTGATTTAAAAATTTATTATTAAACTACAGTAATCAAACTAGTCTGGCACTGGCAAAAGGATAGACATATAGATCAATGGAATAGAATTAAGTCCAGAAATAAACTCTTACATTTACGGGCAACTGATTTGCAGCAAAGGTAACAAGGCAATTCAAGGCAGAAAAGGATAGTGTTTTAACAAATGGTGCTTAGACAATTGGAT